CTAGGGGCTCCTGGCCTTACTACTAGGAGGAAGGACGCTACTAGGGGCTCCTGGCCTTACTACTAGGAGCAAGGACGCTGCTACTAGGGGCTTGGCCAAACTTTGATCCTTCGACTGTGCTGTTCCATGTCCAGGACCAAGTCCGCCAAAGTCCACCGGGTCCGCAATGGCCGGGGGCCTCGCAATGCCTGGCACAAGTCGAGCAAGTGAAGCCAAAGAGCGAGGTAACAAATTGCTTCAACTTGGGGAAGTTCAAGCTGCTCAGAAAGCTTACCAAGAATCTTTGATGCTGATCCAGAAGCTTACGAAGTCTCAAGTTTCGGTCGGTATCTTGCGGGAGCTGGAGGAGCTTCAACTTTCATGTTTTCTAAATTTGGCACAGTGCAACTTGAAGAATGAGGACTATGCTGTGGCTATCAAGAATGCATCTAGTGCCCTTGACATTGACGCCATGAACTGCAAGGCATTGTATCGACGTGGCCTAGCCCAGTTGAAACTGGGATTTGTGGAAGAGGCAAAGACTGATTTGCTGAAGGCCTAGATGGCAAAAGAGACTGCTTTGTTGATTCTCAACATGTAAGTGTCAACTACGTAAACAATTTTAATGTCAAAGTTCAAAACAAAGCGTGGCAGCTTCCTGGTCTCAGCTTTGAGGCGTTCCAAAGCGCTCCCAATGCGGAAATCCGAGCTCGACTGGAGGAGTGCCGAAATAGACTCAGCGAAAGTGCCCAATGGCACAAAAACGCCTTTGGAGGAATCTTTGGCAAAGCACCAGAACAGCCAAAAAGCAGTCGCGATCTACAGAAGTTGCCGAAAGTCTGGTTGGATGTGCAAATTCAAAGCGATGCTGCACGTGTGTACCGACTCACGATTGCATTGTACAGCGACACGGTGCCCAAGACAGCTGAGAACTTCCGTTGCCTGTGCACCGGAGAACGAGGGAAAAATGAGAACGGAAAGGTCCAATTGCATTTCAAAAGGACTTTGATACATAAGGTGATCCCTCGAAACCTGTTGGAGGCTGGAGACATTGTGAAGTTCAATGGGACTGGTGGAGAGTCAATCTATGGACCTACCTTTGAAGATGAAAACTTTCAAGATTCACATCACAAGCGTGGCCTGCTGTCGATGGTGAACCATGGCCCAAACACCAACAACTCAAAGTTTATGTTTACATTACGTTCTTTACCTGAGCTTGATAAGAAGAATGTTGTTTTTGGAGAGATTCTTGATGGAATGCAAGCACTTGATGCTATAGAGGTGGTGGAAACTGAGTATCCTGACTGGCCAGTGAAGGAGATCATGATAGTTGCGTGTGGCGAGTTTCCATCCTGACCTGTGCAGCCAGAAAAGCTTGCTCGCTTTTTCTTGCTTTCCTGACGAGAGAGAGAGAGAGAGAGAGTCAGTCTGTAGGGCATGTCAAAAGTGCCTCAGCAGTGGCCTGTCAAGTTGTGGCAGGGGGCAACAATGGCTCGAGTTCATCCAGATCACATCAGTTATAGTGCGGCCCTTGCCGCCCTCAAACAGGAGAACTTATGGAAAACTTCACTGGGATTCTTGACACGAGCTTCAACCAGAGCAGCCAGAGTCAATCCAGGCACGTTGGGAGCGAAGCGTGTCTCTAGCCGTGTCTCTATTTGTGTGCAATTATGCCTAGGTTGATTTGTCTAGTGTGTGCTATTGTGCCAAGTGGAAAACATGGAAAAAGAATGAAGTTATGCCTCTTGTCCAGGACATCGGCACGTGTGAGAGTTTCTTTGGCACAAAGAAGGGTTGAGCCTTTGCGCTGCGCTCTTGGCAGGCCGCAGCAGCAGCTTTGGCTCTGAAATGATGGTTCTTGGAGCATTGGCTCCAGGCGGTCACTGGCGACGGATTTGTGACCTCGCCAGGTCTGGAAGAAAAGTGAGAAAATTTCAAGCTCCTAGTAGCTTCATGCTCCTAGTAGTACGGCCAGGAGCCCCTAGTAGCGTCCTTGCTCCAATTTGTTAAGGAAATTGTTTGGAGAATCATGCGGATGTTGCAAACAACTCTAAGCACAAATCTAACGTGGCCAAGCTTGAGACGGGCCATTGGAACTTGCAGGACTTTTGGCCTCTCTGAAAGCGCTTTCCTCAGTGCTTTCCTCAGTGCTTGCAATGATTGGCGTTTGGCTTTGGTGGTGCTTCCTCATCATCCAGATGCTACTGAAGTGGCCGCAGCCCAGAGCTCTTGCGGCACTTGCCGCCAATGGCGGCGAGTCTTGAGCAACCTGGCACTGATAAGCAAGACACTCCAAGATACTGTACACTGTACTCCAAGGTCTTGCAGGTCTTGCATGTGCAAAACCTTTCAATATTTGTTAGCATGTGTTGATCACCATGCTTCTAGTTTTGATCCATTCATTTGCCTTGCCATGTGCATATGTGTTCCACAGTTGCTTGTATGGTCTGATCAGTTTATCCGTTGTTGATGTATTTTACATCTCATCGTTCGAGTGTCATGCTTTCCTTCTCACATTCTCTCTCTCTCTCTCTCTCTTTGTTTTTTGACCTCTGGACCTTACTGTTGGCCCTAGTAGCGTCCCTGCTCCTAGTAGCGATGCCAGGGCCCCCTAGTAGCTTCTTGTTCCTAGTAGTAAGGCCAGGAGCCCCTAGTAGCGTCCTTGCTCCTAGTAGCCTTTGTTGGCCCTTTCTCAAAAATGTTTCTTGACACCCATTGCATCCCATTGCTACGAACATACAAGTTACAAGTCTTTCTTGTCTTTTGCACTAGTGTTCCTCTTTTTGGATGCTCTTCTCATTGAAAGAAGCCGCCTTGACTGGAGGAAGGCAAACATGACCGAAAGCAAGGAAGAGAGATGAAGAAAAAGGCCTCCTGAAGGCCTGAAGGTCAAAAAAATGCAAGGAATTGACTTTTCAACTTATGCTTGTGCAAGAGCTTGTGAAACATGAGAGCAGACAAATGCGGTGGGATCCATTTTCGGTCGACTTGGCAGACACGGGAACATGGTTTTGTAGCCACTTTGCTCGAGTGTTGCGCACAATTGCATACATGAATAGCGGTATAGTGAAAATGGAGGGCTTTAACATTCACAGTTCATCGATTGTTCGGCGCTAGTGCATCATGAAACTCTCACAAGCACGTTGAGATTTTTCGAGAGAGGTGAGAGAGTACTTTGAACCTGCAGACTGCGCTGCGTTGCTTTCTTTGCGTTCGTGGTTTGTTGGCACTGGTCATCCCTAGGCATCAGGACAAATAGAACGCTAGTCAAACACCATGCAGCGGCAGCGCAGCTTTGTTCACAGCATCAGCCGGGTTCTACAATGTTCATGCTTTCCCGGCTATTCCATCCTTTACTTTTTTTTCTGATGTTTGCAATTGTGCAAGCTGGGAAGCACGAGATCTTCACCAGCTTGAGGCCCTGAAACATCACTGCCCCATTTTGCTAAGGACTTCTGGGTTCCTTGCAACTCTCCCGGCAGTTTGCAGATGTTTTGGTGAATGCGTTGGCCTGCGATGCAGCCTCTAGGCACGTTCGAAAACCATGCTCGAAGTCGATTGCACATTGCTCTAGTCGAGAAACTGCAGAGGTCAGAGGTGTGGGGCCTGTGGGGTGTTTTGCCAGGCAGAGCCCTGCAACTGTAGCATCGCTTCTTTGGCAAGCTGATTTGACTGCCGCACGGTGCCTGAAAATGTGCGCCTTGCTGAGCCGGGTGACGCTGTGCAGCTCAGCTCTCGTTTGTTTGCGTGTTTCTGAAAGCGTTTGAAAGATGTGACGTTTTGCGCATGTGATTCCAAAGTGCTTGCCTGATGACAACCGAAAGATTGCCATCAAATTTGTTGGGATGGCGGTGCGATATTCCCCCCACAAAAATTCCTAGCCCCGAAACAGCCAAGAAAGGCAATGTGATCGATGAGCTTGACAAGCATCGCTTCAGAGGTAGCATGGCAATGCATTGCATGGCTGCAAAGAATGGGCTTAGATATCCAGCCATGGGCTATGGATGTGCTGCGCAGCTTCCACAACAGTTTTGGTTGCTACAAAGGCGCTGTTTGTACACGGGCTTGCCAAAATTGCTGTGGTGACCCAAATGACACGAGTATGTATATATATATATCTCTCTCTATTTGTTCTATTCTATTCTAGAGCCATGCTGTTTGACAACAGGTTCTTGTTTTCTTTTGCACCAGAATAGAAGCCTAGAATCTGAATAAAGACGTATTTGTGTAGCATGTCTAGCATGAGTATATACAGTGTACAGAGGGGCATTCACCGAAATACTGCTATAGAGATCTACAGGTATATATGTAACTTTGTTGCTGTACAGTCTTGTGTGTTCCCCCAGACCCAACTGCTTACTAGGCTGTCTCACTGTAATGACAAGCAGAATGCACATAAGTTATCAGTAAAACATGAACCATTGGGTGATCCGTCAAAGAATGAGCGTTCACTAAGAACTAGAAAATGTGCTTTTTGGATCAAAGGCTAGAGTATTACGAAAACCAGCCGTGGGTCGTTAGGAAGGGATGGAGATGTGGCAACTTGTGATATTTTTTCGCACCCGACTGGATTTGAGGAGCTACACCTATTGCGACCTTTGCTGCTTCAGCGCGTCGGTGAGCGCGTGGCCAGTCCAATGACTATCAAGACAACATAAACATAATATAGCAGACATCAAACTCAACAAGCCATCGCAGTGAAAACACGCAATCACAACATCAAATAAATATGAACACCGACAACACGACAAGAGACAAGCAAACATAAGCTCGCATAAGTTTGTGTCAGTGCGCCTACGGGAGGAGAAGGGAAAATGTACAAAGTCCTTGTTTGCTTTGAGTTTGTACAGTAGCATAGGCTCCATCGCGGCAAGTGTACGCAAACAAGCGCAAGTGTGTTAGTTACGCACACCTGCAATCCAGACCCAGTTGGCAGAGGTTCGAAAGGCGCAAAAGTGCATATGTGTGATCTGGCTGCGCTGTGTGATGCCTTCCTTTTAAATCATTTAGAAGACCGTGCTGGTCGCACACATTACCATAGGCCCGACTGCAACGCAAAAAGTGTTGGACCGGCAGCTGTTGTTGGCGCACCTCCCACTCTCCCATGTGTTACATATCTATATAATGTGTTTGCAGCTGTGCAGTTCCATTGGCCAAGAGAAACAAGGAGAAACATATTTTAAAACTTGCCAATAGATTAAATCAATAGCCAAAGGAATGAATAGTTTGTAGATGTAGTGCAGTCTGTCTTGTCAAGCGGTTCCTTTTGGATGTTTGAGGTCGAAAGCCTGGAAGAAATAATGCAATCTCCAGGCCCATTCTGGACGGCGTTGGTTAGTTAGTTCTTCTTGAAAGTCAAGAATGACGCAAAGAGAACAGTTCATGCTGCAGGGCATACTGAATGAATTAGACAGAAAATGATAGAATGGCCAGAGGATTTGTTCAGGGTCAAGGCATTTGCCAAGGCTTGCCGCTTCAACCTCCAAACCTGGAAGGTCGCCTAGGAGAAGCAGAAGAAAGAGTAGATCCCGATCGCCAGTGGCAAAACTCAAGTCGCGTGAGGCTGAACTCAGTCAGAGAGTCTCAACGAGGAACAAGAAGTTACTGACAGGTCCGTTGCTTGTTGCGAAGTCACTATATAGCTATTTTTTTACTTTGCGGGAGGCGGCTGAGAAAGCAGCATCTGGTGAAAAGGACAAGACGAAGGCTGAGAAGGTTGAAAACGTTGAATCGTTGAAGAGTCCTCCTGCTCCTCCTCCAGCATTTCAGACCCCGCATTCACATGTTTTCACAGTCTTTATTCATTCAACACGATTCTCCAGATTTTGAGCACAAAATGCCGACAGCAAAGGCTAAAGTCATCGAGCATGGTGACACCGCAGATGCCCAAGATTGTGCTGCAAAATGTGTAGCTGTGTAAGCCGTGTAAGCTGTTGAACGGCTAAAAGCCAAAGACAACACGGAGAAAGCACGAGAAAGCACACTCTGTGCGAAAGCAAGGATGAACGGAAGGTCGGAGGCAAAAAGGTCCAAAGAAAGAAACCAAACGTATGAGTGCACATAAGCTGTAGTCAGGGCGAAATGGAGACGAACGTGGCCATAGCTGGGAGCCGAGTACTGTACAATCAAGGTCAATCAAGGAAGGAAGTGCCATATCAAAATGACTTATTCATTGTCATTCTATTCCGTGGACCTCTACTGTACAATGTTCTCATTGATAATGTCAATTGTGTACTTTATTTGGTTGCTTTGTTTTATGGGCCTTTATTTAGACCTTCAATCTTTTCTTGGATATTCGACCGTGGGCAGCGTCAGAGTTTCTCAGGTGCGAACTGGCATGCCCATGAACACTGGGGATCCTACCTACCAAGCGGAAATCTTTGTACCGCAGGAATTGGGAGGGCCATGTTGGCTTCGAATTTAGAATGGTGTCAGCCAGTATTCATTGAACATACGCAGAATCTGTATATATATATATATGTATGCTTCATATTCTCATGCTGGGGTTGCTTGCATCTAACTCGTCAACTTGCACTGTGTGTTGGACACAACTTACCCCTTACTTAGCACTTCACTTTCCTTTGCCGTTTCCTATTTTTTCCTTAAGACCGTCCAGAGTCCAGACCTGTCATATGTATTTGTCAGTGTTTATTCCGCACCCTTTTCTCTACCATTCTTCCTAGTAACAAAGACATTAATTACTACTAGTAGCAAATAGCTACTAGTAGCTAGGAGGCCATCGCTAGTAGGTTGGAGGCTATTACTACTAGTAGTACTACTTGTAACAAGAAACTATTAAATATCTTACTACTTTATCTTTACCCATTGCGAGCTCACCGCCATCCAGGGGGGTCGGGATGCGGTCAACCATTCTGGTCGGCCTCGTGCGGGACTCGGGCGTTTTGTCGGTCAAGACCGGTCACCTGAGTCACCTGTAACGAAATCAGATTAGACACTATTCCAAACCCCACGTTTGGCAAGTCCCACTATTCCAAACGTAATTAGCCTTTAGTGTACACTAGGCTTGCTAGGCTTCCACAAAGGGCAGGTTGCCCTGTGCTCCCTGGACCTGGACCCGAGAAACACCAACCTAGCGGCAAATGCCCCACGCGCTCCATTTTTCTCCATATGTGTGAGAAAATGAGTTCAAGAAGTGCGATTGAGTTCACCAATGAAATGCCAAACAGATCCAAACAATACAATTACCATCATTGTTTCGTCCACTCATTCTCATGCACCCTCGGCTTCCCCGTGCCCGTAGCATGATGTCGTGCTATACCACAACACATACCTGGGTGATCAGCGGTTTGCGCAACACCCCAAAAAGGGCAAGTTGGGCATGCCAAGCATAGTCAGTACTTAATGGTGGTGCTTCGGGCTTTGATGCTTTGCAGAGCGTCTCCAATCGTGTCTGGTCTGGAGTCCACGTGGAAGCCTTGAAGCGCCCACGATTGTCGTCACTAACTTCTTGTTTTTGCCTAGTATCGAGTTGTCACAAGGGATGCCAAGGCGGACGGTATCCTGCTCCGTTTTGCGCGCAACATGTGACATCCTGATCGCTCGCAGGTGTCATGTGCATCCGCGGGCCTTCGCGCACATCGTGGCTGGGCAAAAAATTGGGTTCGAGAATGAAAGTGCAGGAAGCATCGGAAGTGCTTGAAAGCCAAGAGTGATTTCATGAGAAATGGGCTTCCAAGAAATGTGACACATTTGCATAAATCCACAATCAACTTAAAGAAATTGTGTTTAAGTAGAAAACGTTTGAGCATGTTCTGAGCTCCAGGAAAGAGCAAGCGCTCGTTGATGCCGAAAAGCTTTCAGAGGCTGCCAAGGATGATCCAAAGACTGTCGGGACCTTTGGGACCCTTAAATGAGACACGGCAGAGACACGAGATTAAACAGAATACATCTTACCTCAGGACAGTGATCCAAGGGCATTCTCAGTTCGAGAATTCATTATTTGGATTCAGTTCCTAAAGTTGCACAAAGTTCCTGGGGGTGCATGATAAGAAGTTGTGCAAAATCACTCAGAAAAGAAATAAGATCAATTAACTCACCAGAGGGTGGATTCAAAAACACAATATGGAGCCCACGAACCCGAATGCAAACACGTTCGAATAGCTACATATGTCCAAGTCGAACAACATGTTCTGTTTTACACAATGGTATGTGTTCTTGAGAAACTTCCACGGTTATGATGAGAAACTGAAGGTTTAAATTGGGAAGCAAATCAATAACAAGCACAACATACTCGAGACTCTGCCATCTAGCACTCGTGACTCTTCCATCCCCTGACCCCGGTATGCTGACGAAACTTCATAGATATATTCAAATCGATTGCCTGCGTAATAGACATGTTCAAGGCGTCATTTTTATCATTTTTTCCGGCTCCAGCTCGCTAACGTCGAGGCTCGTCAGCCACATGAGCAGGCAAACAAGGAGCATCATGCGCTGGGGGCTCCACCACCAAGCTCCGTAGCATTCATGAACAGTCTTCGTTTTGCATTCAAATCAGGCAATTTGGCAATGACGTAAAGGTTGTGGCAGATCCACATCACGAAGAAACGTTTGCATTGTCCAAAAATCTCAAATCAGCACCTGAAAATGGTAACCGTCCACATAACACAGAGAAATCCACAACTGCGGCAGCTGGTCTTGTAGTAAGTAGGAATGCAAGACCGTGCGTTGCTGCATCTCACCTACATCAACATGAAATACATAACACACATTCACAACGGAAGTGACTAGATCATTCAAACATTCCAAAACCCTCGTGAACTTTTCACAAGCCGCCCACGCGTTGCAGGTCTTGCTCTCTGTTCAGACCCACCCACAACTTCAGGCCAACTCCTCCATGCCCCACACGCTCGCCTTTTGGCACCTCCGAGCTGCCACGACATCAGCTGCGGAAAGTGCTGCCATGTCGGTCGCTCTGGCGCTACGCTTTCTGCTGGGGCGTGAACAAAACCTGTGTGCACAAGCCTAAACTCTCCGGTCATAAGTGTGTTGCAACTGCATCCACCCATGCCATCATCTCGTCCGACTTCAACGCTGCTCGGCTCCCCACATCTCTTTTCCGCTGGATTCCGCCGTCGGCCCAAAACGGCTTTGGCATCACGTATGTCTACCACACTCCGCGCTACACAGAGGTCAACAGCGTTTCGCACGAGACTTCCTCCAAAATTCACGCGTCAAGTTTCCAAAACGAGCATTTCGCGCGAGACTTCCCCCAAAAGTCACATGTCCAAGTCTCCAAAACGAGTACCCCTGCCAAGAAGTTTCATGATTCCACCCCCTCCCAACAACGCCCGCTCACATACCAATCCCAATGTCACAGCGACATTCACCCCCACCACAACTCGCAACCTCACGCTTCCCTGCTCCTGCCACGAAAATTTGCGCGCCCATACCCGAACACGCACAAAGTACTGCACCTGCCACGAAATATGACCTCCGCCACACCTCGCAACCTCACAAGCCCCTGCGCCTGCCACGAAAACTGCATTTTCCGCCATGGTGTTCGCCTATAAAATGCCTGCTATAGTTTGCCAATTTTGAGTTTCACTTTAAGGGGAGCCCATGCGGTGCACAGTCTGAATTTGGTGTTTTTTTTTGTTTTGGCGGTGCGAGGTCCATGTTTGCACTTTACAAACTTTACTGATTTTGGGGCTGTTAGGGTCAAGGGTGCATTTTATAGCAGGATTTGATTTTTATTAATTAGACTTGATGCTGGCACCTGGTCAGTGCATTTTTTATAGGCAGCTGGCATCCACACGTTGCATTAAGACTGAGCTTGTTGTATAAATTCTATGGTGAACCCATCATAAGTTCTTTATAGGCCTGCTGCTGGTTCAATTTTTAGCGTTGATGTTCAGAATCCACCTACCCCATTATGCCATTTTACAGTTTGGATGCGTTTTGCCCAGCTTGGCCTTTTTTAGAGAACTCACCCTCTCTAGGCATTTTATAGGTCCCAAAGTCTATAAAATGCTTCTAAAAGCATCCAACCTAACAATGAAGGGGGGTTTAAAACTACGCAAAGTCCTGCACCTGCCACGACAAGTGACAAGATTAATCATATCACGTTTGCTTCAGCAAAATTTGCACCACGCGTTCTGAGCACACTCCCATCCACCAAAATCACCGCTGAGACTTGTCACGAAAACACCGCTTCGAAGCAACACCCTGAACCGCAAATCGCAATGTCACAGCCAAACGCCAATCCCAATGTCGTTACGCAGAAAACTGCGGATCTCATAAAACGCTGCACCTGCGCAGAAAAATTTTCCTCCACACTTCAACATCAAACGTTTCCACACGTTTCCTCGCTACTTCACACGAATCTGACACGTCACGTTTCCATCCGAACCCTCTCCAAAAGCTTCCCCCAACGTCAGCGCCTTAGCGCCCTACCACGAACGGCTGCGGTCGGTTGCGAACGGTTGACAACGGCTGCGAACGCTCAGGCAACGAGACGCGAACAAGGCTCCACCCCCAGACCCCCAGAGTTAAACGAGAACCCTTCGCTACTCATTCGGGAAGAAATTATACAAGAGGGTGGGGGAGTCAGAGTGAGAAAAAACAAAGGACGGAGAGAACTTGACTCCCTGTTGATCAATTTGTTGACAGAATATGACAGAATCTCAACTTGTTGCGACTGTTTGGAGCTGGCGCTACAAAAACGGAAGAAAACAAGAAAAAGTAATTCTTTGAGCTTCAGCTCGATAAAGATGTTATATATATATATATGTATACGTGGATTTAATGATGTAATCTTACAAGGAAGAAATGAAATGGACACAGGCCCGAGTAATAGCAATTAATCTGGGGTAGATGGAAAAAGATGGGTAGCACATCTAACGCCACGTATATAACTCTGTGAGGTCAGAAGCGTGGCCAATCAGATGCAGCGCACAAAAAAAGGTCAGGACAGATGAGCCCAGCTCACGCGCTCGGGCCTGATTGGCGTTTGGTCGGGTCAAATTCGGTTGGCGTTTGATCAACCATTGATGATTCGCTGTATTCTAAGGCCAGGCTCACTGACGGGCTCAAAGGAGATCAGCCTGACCATAGCTACTGCGGGTTGATCAGCATGTCAGGCACATGATGATTTTTGTCATTCTGGGTTCACCATGCCAACCAGATCCAGCCACGTCTTGCTTTCTCAACGAAGTTCTGCACGAAGCTCCTCACATCCCGCCTAGCTGATCAAGTCCTTGGAGGAAGCTTTGAGGTCCGCTGCATATGGGCAGACCTGGGAAGTTTATGCGTGAGAAATGGTGGCGCTGCAAAGCAGGAAGTCAGGAGTAATTCTTATGATATCGTTGATGATTGAACTAGGAACAAGGAAGCTACTAGGAACAAGTGCATCGCTACTAGGAACAAGGGCCTTACTAGTAGTAACAAGAAGCTAAGATCAGATTCGTGAGCATTAGGCAGGATGCCTCAGTTCGGGATGCCTCCCCGTGGGAAAACTCCCCAGGGAGGGCCCCCCCCGTCGCTCAAATTTAGAGAATGCGTTTTATAAAGGGGCCTCATATGAAGACGGATCTCCTCTCATAGTTTTCACTTTTAGGCTCTATTAGGCCCTTTCGGGCTACTTATTATTGTGCTTTAGTCCAGTTTCTGCACAGGTCTCGCATGCTTTTCTTTGTCTTACTCGTTTGATTCCACTCACTTCGCTTTCTCTTACCACACCTATGCAACTAATGGTTGGTCCTCATGACAATGGGCCTTCTCTCGCCTTCTTTCTCTCACTTTTGTTTGATGCCAGCCTCAAGGTACTTCAGTCTATTCCAGTAGAACTTTAGGGAGTTCACCGTTCACATAACATGATTTCTTGTATGGTAAGTGTTGCTATTTGACATCCCGCCTTCGTCCTCTGATCGTGTATTTTAATGATATTTATATATCGTCCTGCCGTAATGCATTTTGCCAGCTAAGCTGTCACGAAATTCGACTGGCGAAGACCGACTAGCCCCTTGGGACCGCAGCCCATTGGCGCAAAGTCTGTGTTCATTTGCGTTGCTCACCATGCCGAAGATACGCTTTGCGATACGCGCAACGTTGCTCGGCATGACGACCCTAGAGTCCTAGAGCAAACATCGGCATTTCGACAAACGACAGCTAGTGACAGTCCACTTTTGTGCTCGAGGTCAGTGATTTGTGGGCTGCTGGTTGCAGGGCAAAAGTTCAGCTGCACTCAAACCACAGATTCTCAGAATGAAATACGAAAGTCCAAATGCTTGGCCAGCTTAGCACCTTTTTTCCAGTCTTGCTTCATCCACGCGGACAGCGGACTCACTTGCACTTTTCGACTCAGAATCGCGTGATGTTTCCTGCTTACCTGCGATTTCTCAGGATACGAAAGGTTATGGCTTGAATGTCTTTCAGACAACCACGACCAATAATGTAGCCTGGCACTTGTATTGGCAAGAGTTTTCCTTCGCTCGGTTTCTAAGAAACTCCGCCACGGTCGCACTCGAGGATTTCTGCGGCAACATGGCAATAACGGACTCTGTTGGCGAGTTGGTGGACATTTGTTCGGCATTCTGCGGGAATGGCAATATTCCTTTGTTAGCTGGCGCCTCAAAGGGAAGTGGGGCGCGATGGTCGCATGCCAGGCAGCACAGGCTCCAAATCATGTTGCCTTCACTCCAAGGTTGGTATTCCGTCCTATGGCTTCAACCATGCAGACATTGACACAGTGTGTTTGGCAGATGACAACTCCCTAGCGCAGTGAGCCGGACAGCTGAGCACATCCATGTTTATATAATTGCATTTTGCAGACAACCGCTGTGCTGCGTGTGTGTGTGTGTGTGTGTGTGTGTGTGTCAGCCTCTGTAACTAAGAGTTTTTTGAACGCAGGGGCGTACGGCTGGTCATACCCACCGTACGCAACGAAGCTACGGTATGACGAGGGAAGGGTGGACTGATCATCCACCTGTACCTGCGACTAACACATTGACTCCACTGGTTTCCCTCGGCCGCTGTTTTTTGTTTCCATGGTGGTTTGCTCACGATACCTCCCACAAACCCTTTCTACCGCGTTGTTGCAGCTGAGCCGCGCGTTTTGTGAACACTTCGTTTTGCAGCTTGCGAGAAACAGTTGTTCAAACACCTTCAACTCCTTGGACTTTTCACCTTTCGGTTCCATCACCTTCCTTCGACCTGAGAATTGAGTTAACTGAAAACCAATGTCAGAGTGTGAACCGCTCAGCCGTCCCACTTGGGTGCTGGGTGTGATCCCGTCACTGGGGCGCCGAAGCCATTCCGGAATTTCAGTAACAGCTTTTTCGTTTCCACCATTCGTTGGATTCTCTTAACCGATTCCTTTTCACCACTGGATTAACTGCCTTAAGGGCTGTCGGGCTTTCACGATATGATACCACAGCCGCCGGGCTAAAAAACGGAATTCAGTTCCACTTGAGGTCAGGCATGTTGTCCCAACCCCCGCCCCCGCCGAGTTCTACTCCCTACCTAATGAGGGTAACACAGGGAAATGGTACTCGACACACTTGCGTGTCGGTGCCTTTCCCTCTGTTGTCCCTTTTCTAGTCTACTCTACCCGGGCGGTTTAAGACTAAAGTCCCGCTCCCTAACTATTGCACTTAATTCATTTCTGCTAAGTAATCAGTAACTCTAGAGTGCTAGCGCTGCTCTTTCTGTGTTTCTTTCTTTTGTTTCTCAGGCTTTTTAGGTATCTCTCCGCGCGAGCGCCGCAAAGCGGCACCGTGTGTGTGTGTGTGTCAACCTCTGTAACTAAGAGTTTTTTGAACGCAGGGGCGTACGGCTCGTCATACCCACCGTACGCAACGAAGCTACGGTATGACGAGGGAAGGGTGGACTGATCATCCACCTGTACCTGCGACTAACACATTGACTCCACTGGTTTCCCTCGGCCGCTGTTTTTTGTTTCCATGGTGGTTTGCTCACGATACCTCCCACAAACCCTTTCTACCGCGTTGTTGCAGCTGAGCCGCGCGTTTTGTGAACACTTCGTTTTGCAGCTTGCGAGAAACAGTTGTTCAAACACCTTCAACTCCTTGGACTTTTCACCTTTCGGTTCCATCACCTTCCTTCGACCTGGGAATGGAGTTAACTGAAAACCAATGTCAGAGTGTGTCCTTGCTTCTTCTTTAGTAATGCTATATATTATACCTTCACTCAAGGAGCACTGGGGATTGGTGCAGGTTTTCCTTGCGTACATATTTGGCTTCACTGTGTTTCAACCTCTTTGGAAGTGATATCGTTAAAGCTCCTGTGAAGATAAGTTTGAGGATAAGGGCACTCATCAAAGGTTACTCTTTGGCCAATGTTTGGTTGACCTGAATGATTCCAAAAACTTCCTCAAACCGTCCAATTCATTCTACAAAGTTCCGGCGGAAAAGTCCAAAACATTTCACAAAATCCAATACGAAACCACAAAATTGCACGGCGGAAGAGTATCCCTGTGCTTACTCTTGACAAGCCTTGCTAGTGCACCTGCTCCAAAGACATCCGAAAATGTGTTGCACATCAATCAAGCGAGATGTGTTTGTTTCGTGTAGGTTTTGCGTGGTGCGTGCCGTGAGCGGGGTGAAATGATTGCGATAATCTTCCCATATTGAGTATGAAACGGAGAAATCGTGGTTTGTTTGGAGGGGACGCTGCTGGGGGGCCATGGTTTCTGAGTTGGCCTGGAGGGAGGCCGTTGAAGTTGTCAAGTTGAAGCAGACATGCTTCGCGTCGGGGGGGACAGCAAGTTGATCATTGCAGCTACAGCCGACTTCATTTGTTCTTGGTTTTGTGAGCGATGCGGGCTAACTGTGCACAATGTGTTCCAAAGGCGCTTGTGGCATAGAGTTGTCAGCACCAAGGCAACCTGTGTTGAGCCATCTAGCGGGTCCTTCGTGTTGCTCTTCATGGCAGTCCTAGAAGCATAGAGGGATGTGCTCAATTGCGCCAGGTACAATGCCTCGCATATGAATGATTGAGCCATGGCTACGCAATGCTATGCATGCCTTTGGCTGTTTCTGTGTTTGTGTTTAGTGCCGCGAATGATCAGGTCGCAGCTGGTCGCAAGCGTTGCTGCTCATTAAGACCCGAGCAGCGGAGTTGGTGGCGGCATTGGAAAACATTACCATGGCGCAGTTGACTTTCAAAGCTGGGATTGCTTTGAAGTCCAAGGACTGGAAAAACCAAGACGATGAAAGACGAAGAAAGCACACTTTAAGAAGGAGGAAAGTTGAGTTGAAATGAGCACACACACTGAATATTCACTCAATCCCAGTTTGCCGTGTATAGCCGACATTTGGTGATTATGTTCACGTCATGTGCACTGGCAATTCGTAGTTACCAGGTCATGACGCTTGCAGCAATTTGAACTCACCGTGTGCCGCCCAAGATCCAAGATCTCTCAGGAGCTTGCAGCTACAATGTCGTCACAAGAAACCAGGGATCAGCTTCTAAGCGTCACGCAAAGTCGCTTAGCATCACTTAGCGTTTCAGGAAGCCTGCCGGCTGACATTTGATTTCATCCATTGCCAAAGTAGTTTGCACATGTTGGAACTAGAGTGCAATGTGTATCAAGCTACACCCGCCAAGGCGCTTTTGCTTTTGTTTGCACCAGGTCGGTCAGTCGCAGAATACCGCTCCATCCTAGAAGCTGGAGTTGCGGATTTCTTGTCAACTGGCAAGTACCGGAGACTTGGCAACATGTTCTCCGCCCATCCTAGAAACCGCAGATGCGATGCTCCATTACTTTTGCCGACTTTTGCATTATTGGGGTTGGTGGATATCGACCTGACATCGGGTTGAACAGCAGGAAGTCCTTTATTGTTGGCGTGGGGGGTGAGGTTCGTGGTGACAAAAACGAGGCCACAATTAGGGGGATAGGGCAGACAAGCTCAGCTATGCACCCAAACCCGCCACAAGGCTCTCATCACGAGCTCCAGCGTTTGGGACTGTGATACCCGCAGGTGAGCCTGTTTGATCCACATTGACCCACTATATAATGGCTCACCATCTTTAAAAAAATCTGCAAAGAGCCCAAAGGAGTCCAAAGGTTTTGCAAAAATGGAGGGAAAGGGAAAGAAAATTGAATCAATAGAACGAAAAGAGATAGAAGGAAAAAAACGGCACTGGAGACTCTTACTTTGTTCGTAGGTTGGAGCTGGCGAAGACAAGGCAACCATGTGTCCAAATCCCACCAGTCAAGAGTGTTGGTACAAGTGCACTGAATTACCTGCACAGAGAAGCAAGGCAAATCGCATAAGTTTGGCTCTCGAGCTTGATCGACCTCGCTGATGTTGCATTGTCCCTTAATCATTTGAGTTCGTTGGACTTGATTTGGAGGTCTTTGGACCGACTGACAAGTCAAAGGAGACCCTTGAAACTTGCTATGTAATGTAATTGCAAATGTAATTGCAAATGCACTGTAGGCACTCCTGAAATCAAGCAAAGGATGCTGTGAAGGGAGAGCGGGAAGGGTGCAACATTGGCTCCGTATTGTGGATTGACTTTGATAGCATGGCCTTTGCTTCAGGAGAGATTTGCAAGACACAATGGAGGTGCCTCGGGCCTTTTGCAGAGGGATTTCGGAGAAGAGTATTTATTTGAGGACCAATTCAAGGGCACAAGTCAAACTGTCATTAAGGGACGGTAAGGTTCTTTAAAGTTGCACCATAAGTCATGGGTGATTCTGGCTGGTACATTCTGCCAGGTGCTGCGCAACGCAGGCCGGATGTTGGATACAACGCTAAATAGCAACCTTCCGCAGCTCAGCCGCTTTGTCGAAGCTTGGCATCAACTTGGGTTGCATGTTTCCCAGTTTATCCCTGGTTTGTTGCGTTTGTTGAGCATTCTGTCATTCTATCAGCTTAGCTTGATTTCAGGCAGAGTGTGGTGACTTGCTGGTATCAACGGGCTCCAGCAATGAATACCTGCTGGACATTTGCATCCAACGGGCTGCAGTGTGCTTGGACAATCCAGAAGCACAGCACGTCGGCTGCTGCTGTTCCACTATTCCACTAGGCGCATTAACCCCAGAACAAGCACAATCAGCACACTCATGAGCTCATAGAGACAGGAAAATAAAGATATATAGATAGAGAATAAAGAGAAATAGAAAGAATTATTCAACTACATGAGATTGAGAACTAGATGAGGATAAATACTGCGGATAGATGGACCATCCAACAAGCTGCCGGAGGTGGAACCTTCAGCATCACTGGGGAGGAGGGAGCGTCGGAGCAGCAAAACAGCACGGACGGCAGTCGTCGGCTTCAGACAGCGGGCGCTGTGGATGTGTGTGCAGAGGCGCCACAGACCTAGTCACATGGTCATGTCTTGACTGGACATTGTCCGGTTCTAGTAGCAACGTGCCAATGTTTCAACACAACTCGATGAACTGAGCTAGGTCCCAAGCAGTGGCAAAACACTTCTCACAAATCCTTGAGCTGACCCGTGTGATAGGCGGAGGTGCTTTTCAGCGCTGACCTGTCACAGAGATCTTCAGAACTGCAATCCACCACTGAAGGCACTGCATTGCTGCAGGCAGGAGACGGCAGAGTTTTTCCGACTGCTCTTAGGTACTACTGTAGTAGCTTTTAGGTCCTAGGTACTACTGTGGTAGCTTCTAGCTACTACTAGTTACTAGCAATGTCAGGAGCAACTAGTAGCTACTAGTAAGGTGCCTTGTTACTACTGTAGTGGCTTCCTCTCCTGCCTGAGGCCCACCAGGCTGCTCTCAGAACTGCCTATCCCAACTTCTACACGGAAAGCGGCTGCAGGAGCAGGCGCAAAAGCCGAAACCTTCGCCTCGATTCATGCTCCATTTTGCTAGATCTTAGATAAGCCACCCCGTTGATGCTACAGATTGATTCAACAAGCAGTTTTGTGTCCGCCATTGAAAGGCGTTTAGGCGATTTGGATGATATGAGTCTGAGACACGACGGTCAAGCCGGCAAAGCTGCCCAAGAAGATCAACGATCCTCAGTCAGTTGCGCGTCGAGCGCAACAAACGTTCCTGCCAAATTCAAATGCATGTTGAAGTTTCTATCACAAAATTCATGCACTAACGATGGTACATTGCCCAGCTATTTGTATCCGGCCAGATGTGGCAAAACTTGGCACACGAATCGGCGAACCAGCCGACAAGCGACGGACCCGGACCCGCTCAGGACGTTTGCAGAGCCAATTGAGCTGCACCCCACAGCGAGCGACTTTGGGCGATACCAGCTATAAGGCTGGGCTGTCGAGTATGGCCGCAGGCGTTGCACATTCTCACAGAGTTGAGTAACTGAGGAACTTCCCTAGTTTCTCGAAGGATTCTAAAGTTGCTAAATCAATCATGCGTCCCAGCATGTCGTAGCCAGTAGCATTTTGCCGCTACCGCTAGATACTTAAGCAACTGAAGAAACTACAACTGAAGAAACTACTGACACTATCTGAAACTATTAGCTTCTTCTACCCCCTTACCATCCCTTACCCTTCACAACCTACCCGTGCCATCCCACGCCCCTGTTTTGGAAACATGTGTTGCTGTTGTGCTGGGCACCAGGCAGCCTTTTGGGCCCAGACTGAGCAGAATTACTGCGTGGATATCCCACCCGATGCGGGTGCGACTGCTCGACGCCCAGTGATGCGACCCCCGCCCAAAAACAAGGGCATCGCTACTAGTAACAAGTGCCTTACTACTAGGAACAAGAAGCTAGTAGAAACAATAAGCTTTAATTGTATATATATATATAATTTAATTAGCAAAGGAGGCTACTAGGGTCGTGTCCCACCCAACATGCAGAGGGCAGTTTGGGCCTTCAAGACCGGATACCTGTGACATTTGCCGCCACCTGTGGATTCAGAGAAACGGACACAGGGGAAGGAATTGATCTCAGTATTGCCATGTCATGGCATCAACAAGACGTCGTGGTGAAGCCAAACCCTCCTGCCAGTGACAATATACTATATGACACACTCAGTGACACACTCTTTTCAATATATAGCAGCTAGCAGCCAGCGCATGGCCGGAAACGGGGCTGGCTAATAGTTATGCGATTTTGTGATACAGGTTATCAACCTGTTTACTGCACCGAGATTGCTATCAGCTTTCGACCATGGTTATTGTACATCATGTGTTTGCCTATTGATCTAAAACCGACGTGCGTTTTGTGCGCTTTTTGTTTTTTTGCGGTTTATGTGTTGTTGCTTCGTGCGCGATGTTGTGGCGGATGTGCTTCGTGCAAACGCGTGCTATGATGATGCCACCTGCAGAGACACATGCAAGGATGCCACACGCACATAGAGCGGCACAAGATGGGGATGGGGGTTGGGTGGAGGGTTAGTAACGTTCGGTTGCGTTTGCTTACTGCTGCTTGGCCAAGCGCCAAGGCGATGACCGATCTTGGCCTCTCCGAGATTTGCAAGAGCTCCTGGGACATCACGGCTGTTCTTGTTTTGAAACAGCAGCAGAAAGAAAGGAAAGAGCGTTCCTGTTTTGTTGGCTTTGTTTGTGCTTAGTGTTGTTGAATACGGGATCATCATATGGCCAAAAATGCAACAGTTTGCCTGGAAACGCTCGCGGTCATTGCAGGTTTCTGTGGCGAAAATGCAATTCCCCTCACTATCGGAGGTGTTTACTTTGGGTTCAATCAGACAACCATGGACCGTGCGTCGCTGCGCGTCAATTACACTGCCTGGTACTTTGCCAACTGTACTTTCAGCATGCTAAAACGAACCTGCTAGTAGCGTCCTTGCTCCTAGTAGTAAGGCCAGGAACCTAGTAGCGTCCTTGCTCCCTTCATTAAGTTGGTCCTTAAGCTGCTCCAGGACGGTATTTGTCTTGCGGGTGACATCATCGAAGCGAACTCCAGTTTCGTGAGTCAATGCCACACGTTGGGAACCCAATGCTGCGCCATGCCACACCAAAAGGAAGAGAAACCAAAGTTAAGCTGAGACCAACTAATTTACTCAACAAGTTTAGGACGGCGACGCATGTTAATTGTTCATGGCCAGATTTGCACGGCCAGGCATGCGAGGGCGATGCAGAACGTTCAGATCAAGTTAGCGGCGTTTGTATCATCCTTGAGGAGCACATGACCTTGAAAAAACAATCATTATATAGATGATTTTGGGGGACCCAAATTGCGCCGTATGTGTCACTTGTTTTAGGTTGCTCACAGTTGCACTGGTTTTGAAATCGTCTTCATTTGATCATCGCCAGTGTGCTGGAAGCTGAAAAGACGCTCTATGAAGCCAATGCCAAGAAAGCAGCAGCGTCTTGGAAAGCAGCTTGAAGGCTCCCAAGTTCATGGAGCAAAACGTGTGCTTGACAGTATATAACTCCCGGGTGTTTGTGTGATTGCTCAGCCCAGCCCAGGCTGACTTAAAGGCTGCAATCGAAGCACGTGCTTCATCAGCCATGGCGCTGAGTCGGCACATGTGTCAACTTCAGCGCACTCAATACTTGTCCAGGATGATGTGCAATGAAGCAAAAAGCCGAGAACAGATGGAAGTGAAGAAGTTGAAAGCTTGCCAATTGGCACTCAGGTCATGCAAGCTGCCCTTGTCAATGAAAAGATCATCAAACTTAAGGACATGACGAGACACGGAGACTAAATGATGAATGTAGGGACATGCACGGGATCCCCTCAAGCTGCCCACACTCAGAATAATTTATGAAAGAAACCAAACTTGCCGTCAAAACGTTTTTTGTTGCACATGTTTCGTTCGGGGTAGGAATTTAGCGACATGTTGCACATGCAGCGGCTGTGCCATGAGGGATGTCAGAAAATGCATGCAATCCACTGCCTGGACTCTGATTGTAGCACCTCGAGCATCCTCAAGCACATTCCAGTCCGCTAAAGTACAGGGCCCCCCATGCGTCCCGATGCTTGTGCGGGCACAGTATCTTTGCAAATCACAGCTGTCCACTGGATCTGATCACGAGAGGAGCTTCTCATAGAAGAGACCACAAGCATGAAGACCAGCGGTAGCGCTTACTCGGCTATTCAACGGTGCAACCGTCCTGTTTGCTTGTGAACTTTAAAACCGCACTCACATTGGCGCCAAATGGATCGACCTCCTGTGATTCAAAAAAAGCTTCCAAGGATTGAACTTCAATGTGCATGTGTGTCACTGTGTGTGTGTGTGTGTTTGCGTTTCGCATTGACCACTTCCCAGGGCAGTCAAGGATGTTGAGGCTAAAGGCTGGAACTGCATCCAAGACTCTTGAAACACATTAAAGTTCTGTATGTGGAAGGAAGCCTGAGAGGGAATAAAATGGAGAAAGCGGAGAATGTTCAGACTTTGGACTTTGGAGGCAGTGACCTTCAAAGCACACTGTCAGCTTCCTTAGCTGCTTTGGACACTTTGGCACTGACCCTAGCAGCTTAGCAGATCCTGACAGTCATTAGAATCACTCTGGCCCACTCCTGACATCTCCTGACAGAGGTCACTGACTGCAACAAGCTTTTCACAGGAGTTGGAGCAAGCTCACAGCTTATGACGTGTGCGATGATTTTTGCGTGTGGTAATTGAAGGACAGACTATCAATCAGTACCAATAGGAAAGTCAGGAGTCAGGTCCCATCAGGATTGTGTGGCTTGCTGCTCAGTTGGTAAGGCAACGAATATCTCCTCGATCTGTGCTCTCAGACATCAACAGCTTGTTTGGATGATGACCTGGGGCGCCATGCAGGACGGAGATCGGTTCCGGGCATCGTGAATCGTGATGCAAACGTTTCGTGTTGTCAGCAAGAAAAGCAAAGGCTCAGCAAAGGTCGTAGTCGTAGAAGCGCAATGTACATTTACAACTTGATGATGATGATGATGATGAACCACAGGCAGCACCTTTGCAAAGGTTTGTTTTCCCTTAGCACAAGGGGTACAGGTTGTAACTATGGGCTGTGGACAATTTGTACGAGCACCAAGACAGAAAGCTTCCAGTAAGGCCCTCCTTGCTTGCTTGATGGGTTTTTGCTGGTGCCCTCTACGTACTCCCAACAAATGGACTGGATCAGAGCACCTGGTCTTTGAATGGCTCTCACCACATCAAGAACACATGAGCTCCATGTTTCAAGGCTGTTCACCACCTGCAAACTGCGGTTGCCCACCACCCGATAACATTTCACAGGTTCGCCTCAACAGTGCCCGGCAATCCTGCCTCTTTTGCTGCATCCTTGCAAGAATGCATTCGTCCAAACCATGTCCTTGGTTTCAACAAGGATGGGTGTTTTTTTAAATAAGAATGGGTGAAAGAAAGGCACAAAGGATCACAAAGGTGTCAAGCCTAACAGGGTCTATATACTGTAGATATATGAAAAAACAACCAAAAGTAAAGCTTCTAGTAACAAGTGCCTTACTAGTAGTAACAAGAAGCTAGTAGGAAACAATATATATGGACACTATTTTGCTATTTGCGGTTCTTTCAACCTTTTGAAACGTTCTCGTTTGTGCCACGGGCTGCGTGGACGCAGTACCGTGTTCGCTTGTGTCCAAACCAGAGCACCCCCACAAACAACAGTGGATATGGCACAAGTATCATGGTCCTAATGTCGTGCGCTTTTACGCACTGGGGTTCAAATCGCTCCGAAACGCGGCCGCTTCGGCTATTTTGTGCCCTGAATATGGACACCAAAACCCAAACAGAATGACACGATCAACATCGATCATAACAACCGGGGCGCCATAACACGGCCGGGGCACCGGAATGCCCACCATCTAGTACAATGGAAGACCCCTACCTTGGCTCTGTTGGAGTAGTTTTGTTTACGGATGTTTAAGAACAAAATATTCAACAAAAGAGAAAACAATAGAGCAGAAAGGAAAAGAAAATAAATAAAGGTTTTACCAAAGATGCAGATAAGGAACAAAGGAAGAAAGGTCAAAAGAAAGAAAACGGAAAGGACAGGAAGAAAGGTTCAACAAAAACATGAAAAGGAAAAGGGGTCCAAAGGGTCTTTGTTCAGCAATGGACATCCTTGCCGCAATCTGGCTTGCTGGTTTCTTGCTGGACCCCTCCGCTTGTGGGAACCATTCGTCCAGCGAGCAGTGAAGTCGTAGAGGTTTCCGAAGCTTGTGTTCCAGCAAAGTTTAGCAACATCCCCGTAATTGGAAAGACAACCCGCAGAAAAGAAGAGAGGAAAGCCTGTATCGGATCATTTAGGTTTTACATATGTCCAGAAAGTAGGAAATGTTGTCAAGTTAATAACCTCACCTTCTCGAGGCCCGAGGTAGATCGAGGTGGCATGTGTTTCTCCTCGCTGTAGCTATTCCCCCCGGAGAATGATGTTTGCAGGAAGAACGCCGTGCAGCTACTTGTTTCCCATCTCTTGAGGTTGAGACGAGAGCGCTTCCAGCAAGCAGGGCGTAGGGGCTATCCATTTAGACTTGGTGCACCGTGCATTTGCACACGTTAAGCACTGCACAGTCAATAGTACAGCTACCTAAAAACTCGCGATTAAATACGATACTCTCATGTGACGGATGCAATCGGATGCATACGGATGCACCAGCCAACCAATTTGACACATTTGCAGGCTGCTGCTGCGGCTATAGTCCCTTGATTGCCTTGGGGTCGAACACCGTTCCCGTGGCGACCATTGACGGGCTCAGCAACTCCAGGTTTCGGACGGGTGTGATGGGTTTTGCAGCTTTGCACTTGGATGCCAGCCGGGAAACTTTCGGAAGCGTTGACTGGACGGGCGTAGTTGGACATTGGATGCGCGACACCTTGTTCAAGGTGAGTTTGCTGCGTTGCACAACTTGCAAATCCTTCTCCCAACCACCCTTTCCCTCAAGAAAAGCAGGCACGGCAGCCAAGCATTCACACTGAGAAAAGTAGGGCCCACAATCCATTGTTGCAAGGCTTGAAAGAGAGGGTATACCTGGAATCACAATGACGAGACACGAACCTGCGAATCCAATACTGATCTAAAACATTCTAAAACCAAGTGTCAAAGTTTGCTCAGGGGATCTGAGGGCACAGAAAAATAGTTGCGCAATGTAAATTTACTTTACAAATCGCTGACTGTTCTCATCAACGGCACAAGAACAAAGAAGCAAAAGCTGTGGCTCAAAGCCATGAGTCTGGATTTGTGCCACATGTATTCACGGGATAAGCACCGCAGGGCTCTATTATGCGTTTATCACTTATGGGGTGCGTCAGCCTCTTTAAAAGACTTGTTCTGTTAAGATGTTGGTGCCGGAGCTATGCATATCGCTCCCTGGAACTATATATAAACAAGATATAACAAAACTATCCTTTAGTGGATGGACAAGAAAGTCCACGCGCAAACAGCCTCATACATATTTCTGACTGCCAATATGAAACTGCAGAACTTTAACAAGTTCTGTTTCTTGCTTGCACTTGGCATTCCTTCAGCAAGCCTTTTTTCTTTGAACTAATTTCTCCTGGAATAGGGAGACGACTAAATCAAACGGTTGTAGTGGATGTGTAGCAAACGAGTTTGCGCAATTAAAACTGTAAGTAAAGGAAGCCTGGTTGGGAGGTAAAAGGCGAAGATTGCTCGCCTTGCGCCTTGCGGCATATGTTCCTAGAGCTTTTCCTGTTTGGTGTTGCGCTTGGCTTCATCCTCGGATGTGTGCGACTTTGCAGCGCTGCACTGCGACTAAGCTGGCCTGACACTCACGGCAGGGTATGGCATTAATTACCCAGTCCAGTTCCACGTTATGGTTTGCCCTTGCTCCGTCATTACCAAGAAGTGTGGTGGAATGCAGTCGATCGAACTTTGGGAGGAGTTGCCAGCCCTACCCCTTTTGCCACGTTGCCAGCCTGCAGGTTGAGGCAAACACTTCGGGCCGTCCGAATGGGGATGGATTCGATCAGCAGGAACTGCAGGCCGTGCAAATGCATGTGGCCTACATGTGGCATGTGGGGGGTTTCAAGGTAGTCCCTTCACATGGAGGACTTCGACCCTTTAGCGGTCCCGCACCCTACAGGCCTGCAGCAGGTGCATCACGTCGAGGGTGACGGATCAGATGGACGACTCGGAGATAGGTTTGATGTCAGCCGAGGTGGACTAAATGACTGGCGCAGAGCGTCTACAAGAGTTGCCCAAGATGACCTAAGAATGTCCCACCTCCTTGCAAGAGCGTCCTACAGAGTGCCCTGCAAGAGTGTTCTACCACAATGTCAAGCAAGAGTATTCTGCAAGAGTGTATTACAAGAGTGTCCCAAAAGAGTCTGCACAAGAGTGCCGTACAAGAGGGCCCCACAGGAGCGCCTTGCAAGAGTTTCCTGCAAGAATGTCCTAGAGCCCTAGAGTGTTTGTCCCACAAGCATGTCCCACAAGATTGCTTGCTTTACAAGAGTGTCCCACAAGAATGCCCCACAACAGTCAGTTGCTAAGAAGAGTGTTCTAGAAGAGTATTGCACAAGATTGTCAAGCAAAAGTGCCGCACAAGCAAGTCCTGCAAGATTGTTATAGAAGAGTGTCAACCGAGAATGGACGTCATTGAAAAAAATCAGCCAGCAGGGGACGTGTATAAGCCAGTGTGCTGCAAAAGTTATATAGAAACCAGGTACAATGAATGACACCAGAGCACGATCTTTCTTTTTGCCAATTTGTCTACTAGTGGGCCTCTTGCTCGGCTGAGATCCATGGTGCGGTTTGCGGCGGGTCGCCTCGGCAGCCCCAGCTTTGTTTGGGTTGCCACACGATAAAGTTCTCTCTCGGTCTTTTTTCTCCTTGCTGATAATTATATATATAGTTCCCGCTGTGTTTCGCCAGACTGTTGGGTGCTTACTTCAAGTATAGGAAGAGGTGCATGTGTGCGCTCTGGAACTTGGGTGCCGGTGGCCAGCCGGACCTGTGCACTGGAGCTTAGGTGCTGGTGCAGAGCGCCGCCAGATCACATCTACACCGAATGAAAAACAAAACCTAGGACCCAGAAGCGTCCTTGCTCCTAGATGGACCTAGGTGCTGCCCACAAGTATTCTGGGCTATTTGGGGCGTGTGATGGTCTGTGCTGGTGTAGGCATACATGCTGTCAGCTGGCTTAGTTCCAGGCACTCAACAGACATAGAGGCTCACACACACACCCTAAATGATCATAGACCACGCAGCAACGCAGCCAAGGGCTTTGGGAGGAATTTCTCGCAGAGTTCCATGCTCACGACTAATGTGTTCACGGAACCTGGCTTCTCCGACCTCGCTCTTGCCTTGCATTTTCACAGAATGACACCCGAGAACCTGACAGGATGCAGGCCACGGCCCTGAAGTAAGGTCATTGAACCAACAAGTTGTCAAAGTGTATTTGTGGGGCACACAACGAGCAATGTTCAGTGAAATCCACATCAAGCCTTTTTCAAGCCTTCGGGCGACAAGAAGATTAACACGAATGCTCGATTGTACAGTTGTTCCCTCCTGCAACTGTCCAACGGTTTGTTGACATAATTTGCCTATGTGTGTCTATGTTATTCAACATGCTTAGAAATGCCGATAATGCCGCAGTTGCAGATGCAAGACATCAATCAAGAAACCATTTGCCAAAACGATAGTCTATAGTGCGGTTAGGGAGGGTCTGAATTGCGAAAGCTAGCCTGTGGGCTGGGCTGAGTGGTTTGCCACGAACGAAGTGAGGTAAGGGGCTGGGGAAATAGCAGGTAGCGGATAGGCCAGAAAGCGTCAGAAGGCGGAGGTGACAGAGTTTGCTGGGCCCTAGTACGCGCTAGACAATTCGACGACACTGGCCATTCGATTTCTTGTGTCAACTTTGGAGCCCTAGTTCTTGTTTGGTCGCTGAAACGTAAGAGGGGAGTTTCAAACCATGCACCAAGGGGCGACGCTGGCCACACGATCCACTGAACGTTTAAAGAAACCAGAACATGTTTGGTTTTTGTTGTGCTGTTCGTTGTTTTGTAAATCAGATACAGTACTTGAATATTTGCAGTCATGATAGGCAGAACTCCATGCCGAATACACCCTGGAGTTTCCAGCCAGCCGCCAATTTTCACAGCGTTGACCCATCGCGAGAACAAAGCGATTTGTGCACTACATGGTCGCGTGGTTGTTCCCGATGCCAATTTGGGAGTCGTCCTAAACCCTCCATCGCACAAGGTTTCGCGCAACGGTTCTTTGCACACAGACACAGTGGTAAACGAAACACCTCGAAACACATTCGAACAAAAGCTGTGGTTTTGCTGTGTTCGCGCAAGGTTCGACCAAGCCAGCCGTAAGAGGGCTTTCGGGAAAGGGCATTTTGCACAAACACTTTGTCCATTTAGTTGAAGTTGAAATGATCTTTCATGCTTGTTATATTGCATATTCAAATCCAGACCTCTTTTGACCCTTACAAGTTGCAATTGGCAACTGCCATGCTCCACCCTTTGCGGAGGTTCACCACTGACAGCAGCGGGCGCACCCGCACGGCGCAGCGACGCTTGTCCACCACCTACGACGTGTGTGGGGAAGCAGGCAAACTTGCTAAGCCTAAAGTCGATGAAGCTCTTGCCCAAGTGCCGAGCTCAGTTTCACAACGCAAAAGGGAAGAATACTCGAATTCCGTAGAGAAGAGCAATGAAAACCATGTTTTTGCATATTGTTAGGGCCCAGGGGGGACATGCCACGGCGCGCAGCACTGCAAAGGTGAAAGCGCTAGGGTTCCAGTCCTTGATTGACGAGCGCCTGATGACCATGGCCAGGCCAGAAGGGACGTGAGGGGCATGGGCCCCGGGGCCCTTCGGAAAAACGGAACCCAAAAGCATCAAACGAAGGCTATTGCTTCTTGTTTCTAATGGTTTCTTGTTTCTAGTAGTAAGGCACTTATTACTAGTAGCGATGCACTTGTTTCTAATAGCTTCTTGAACCCAAAAGTATCAAACAGAATCTGAGAGAAAATGTGAGACTTTGTGTGACCAGCTCCCATTCTGTGTTTTGTCAATCTGCATCCAGGCGCTACCCGGCTCAGTTTGGCTGTAATTTGCCTAGCTGCTCCTCAGACACAGGCACTTTGTGGAACTTGGGCCTTTGAACCTCTTTGCAGCACGGCGGAAATGCAGGATAATCATGTTGCAGAAGAAGTATATAGACGTGAAGCTCCCCCATTGCAGGCGGAACCTGCCAAATCTTCAGCTGCTCCTCCGGCAGGGGGCCGACTAGCTGTACCAATGGCAAATGCCTTTGCTCCTTGGATCAAGAAGTGAGGTGAAATGGAAGGAGAATAGGATATTAGATGATATTAGTCATGACACAGAGAGAGAGAGAGAGAGACACCGCGCGTTTTGTTTTATACTCGTGCCGTTTGTTAGTCTTCAGATCGAGCAATCCAGGTAGCGAAGGATATTGCGCAAATTCCAATGGTGTTTGTATTTCTGTGAGCGATGCTTGGCACTTTAGACATTGAGTTTTGCATTTGAATCCTTGTTTGTGCATTTCAGTGTCTGATTCGATAAAGGGTTGCATTCCGAATTTTCCTTTTTGTTAGGATTACATCGGCGATGGACAGAGCCCCAGCGCCTAACCGTCTTTCCACCATTTCCGAAAACGGATGAGCAAAAAAGCAAAGAAGAAGTCAAAAACGAAGAAGATGGAAGTTAAACAAGGAAATGCATCGAATGTCGTTACCAAAATTGGTATGGCTAGGGCTAGGGTTTGTCCCATTATCTGTAACAGTCGGTGAACGAAGTGCACAAATTTTCACTATTTTAGAGAAATGCCTTCATCATCCACGGTTACTGGTAATGGGATATACCCAAGGTATGGCGTGCAAGTAAGGAGCAACGTCATTCCCAACGTGTTCAAATCCTTTCTTTCACTGCGGCTCCATGGCATGGCATGCATTTTTGATTGACTGAATCCCATCGCTTTGAGGTGCCACGTCATTCGCGCAATTTGTGCACCTACACATCCTTTTCATCCTGCTGGCTGTTGGCCAGCATTTCTAAGCTCGACCTGATTTCAACAATTTGGTTGCTTGCTGGAAGGGGTAGGTGCAATTGGCAGTGCAATGCGTGCAGGACCCCAAAGATGCACAAGGTATCCAGGTGGCAATGCCTTGACATCATTCACCCTCGTTGATCGTTGCTAGATATTGCACATTATTGCGCTGCTGTTCACCTCACTCTACTTTGTACACATTTGGTTCTCCAAAGACTGCTCGCGGCAGAGCTTGTCGAGCAGGGCTTGCAGTTCCTGCCAAGCAGGGCCAAGCTTTGAGAATCAGCCCCTGGTAGCACGGCCAGAGAATCAAGAAAGTAAACTTTGCGACGCTAGCCTGTTTTTCTGCGCCTGGGCGTGGAATGCACATGAAATCGGCATCAGCTGGCACAATGCGTCACGACGCCGTGTAGTGTGACTGAGACCCGCTGTGCAGGGCTTCGGGGAAAAAACGCATTGTTCAGAAGCACAAGGTACCAGAAATGCATTTGGACAACCACCACAAGTGCTACCAGTCAAGGCCACACCCCTCCACTCTTGGCATGCTTTTTGAATGTGCTTTGCTTGAAATCAGGATTTGCATTTTATAAAAATCACGTTGTGAGAGCATGTGGATCAGGTTTTCGCATGCCTCTATGATCACATCACTTGAGAGGCACTTTATAGAGACGACAAGTCATACCGTCTCGTCTCTTGACCCATCTCCCAGTCACACGCCCTGTCGTCCCAACGAGCCAACCAACCCACCCACGAAAGCTGAATTTTGCGTTCAAAAACACTTTGGCAAACCATTTTAGATAGAGTCGTTTGCCGGGCATTTTATAGACACAATCTTTCTACAAAATTCTCAGCAAATGATCCCAGTGGCAAAGCATGGAGGATGCTGCCCTAGGATTTACAACCTGAGTTTGAACAAAAATGCTTGGCGGGAGTGAAATTCAGCGGTATTGGCTGCTCCGAAATCAAAGACCAAGGAAAGAACAATCAAACAGCAGGGAGGCCACATATCATGTCATGCTCCAGAAATTTTTGAATCTATGGGCATGGTCTTTGAATGCAATTGGGCGCCAGTTCAGGCCAGTTGATCTTTTGCAGACGTTTCTCAGCACACTAGCCACGACTATTCGCACAGCAGCTGGTGTGGCTCCCTTCAACATGGTGCGGCTCACAATGGGCAGGCTATTTGGCCCGAGCCCTACGGTTTCAAACGCCTGCTTTACACTACAATATGCGTTTTCCGAAGTATTTGGATGCACTCATGAAAGCAATTGAGAGAACCTTTGTTTTAAGAAGAATCACTTGGCATGTTTAGACTAAGAAGTGAATCAAGGGTATGATGGCCTTTGTTCAAGCGAGTTTTCTGCGATTTTTCTGCAGGTGTCCAAATTAGATTTTGAGACATGGTGGCTCGGTGTGCAGAATATGAGTTGCTTGTTTCTGTCCAGCTGGGCCAGTGGGTAGCTCATGTGCGCTCACAATGTTTTGTATTGTTGTTTCCTAATGGCGCACGTTCGATGCCCTGTCGCCATGCACAAAGTTCAGTCAAAAGCATCGCGAATCAGTTGTCGCTGCTTCTTTGTGATCCCTGAGCGACGAAGGAACCACCAAGCTCTCACTTTCTCTGGCAGCTCAACATTGTGTGTCACTTTCAGCCTTCTCTCACACCGGGTGTAATCGTTCATGTAGTCTTGTAATGTCTGTTGTGGTTTTCGCTGAAGCTTCACGAAGTACTGTTCGAAGTCATCCGGCAACTCTGTCAGTGGGTCAAAGCGAAATCCTCTATCCAGCCTTGTAAACAGAAGATCACATGGTGCGATTGCCCAACTGCATCTTCTTCCGGTAAATCTCACAGCCCAAGTCAGTCGAGGCTGTGAAGGAGAAGCCCAAGAGCTCCAAGAAGATCGGCGATGGAAAGATTCGCCGTGGCATCGGGCAGGAGTTGAAACGGTCAAGCGCCTGCAAGACCTGGCGTTTCGAGCCCCAAGATTGTGCCCACGAAGAAGATCAGCTCAGGCAGCGAGCAGGCCGTGGTCAGCATTGGTGGACCTGCCTGGCATGTGGGTCACGATGGGAGTGCTTGGAATGGGCCGAAGACAAGGCCTTGAACACGGGAGCCCAAAGTGTTCAAGCCCTCCAAGGTGGCTTACCCGAAGACGCTCCCGGCCCCCAGGCACTCTGAGGGCATTCCAGCCCTCCAGCTGGAGGAGATCATCGAATCGCCAGCCAAGCACTCCAGCCAGAAGCCATCCAAGCAGACCCAAGGCCGCATTCCAGCAGACTACCAGACAGCCGACGAGCGCTTGGACGAAATGCTGAAGAGTCACATGGGCCCAAGGGAGGCCATGAATGCAGCGCTCATGAACCAGTGGCCGGCTCCTCGTGGTGCAACACGCCGCACTCCCTCAAGCGGTGTTCGCGAGATCCAAGAGATGCAGAGGCCTCGAACACCAAGGATCTCGGACAGGGTGGAAGTTCATGCCATCCATTCGTCGGACGAGGAAGTGAAGTCGAGTGGGGTCAGCTCCTTTTCAGTGACCTCCCCATGAAGGCAGATGGTACAACGGCTACGGAGAACCCAGTCCAGCAGGGTTCAAAGTCTCACGAGAGCCCTACCATTTTGGAGAGCTCTTTGCCACCACGAAATCCTTTTGAGGGTATCTTTTCTCCAGTGCCATTGGCAGCCCACGACGCCACCCAGTCCCTATCGGCCAGCAAGGATGTTAAGCAGCCGACAAAGAAACCGATGAAGATGCAAGGGACAGGCGCCAAAGCAGCGATGATGGCATGCGCAGTCATTTTGTGTGTGATGCCCGGCACCGAAGCCCGTTTCGACTGGCTCGGCACTCGGATGGAGTCTGAGGACGATGCTGGCATCACGCCCCCTCGTTTTGCTTACTTGCTCACTCCAAGCACCACTGAGCTTGGAAGGACTGATTTTGATGGAAAGCCAAGGATCTTAGACAAAGAACAGAGAAGCTTCGTGTCACAGGGGCTTCGAAATTTCCTCGATCAGGTTGGAGAGGTGTACTCACAGCCCCGAGTCGCCAAGGAAGCCACAAAACAAGGCCTTCGAGCCAAACTCGCCCTGGACGTCACGACGGGCTGGAACTTTGATCTGCCAGAACACCGTCGCCAGGCTCGATCGCCAAGCACCGACCGGCAGTGCTCATTTTGAGCCCACCGCGCACGGTCTTCTCAAGACTCCGATCCCTTTCAAACCACAAGAGGAATCAAAGGGTCGTTCAGCAAGAGTATGAACAAGGTCTCAATCACATGCTCTTTGCAATCAGTTTGTGCCGCCTCCAACTCAAGGAGCACAGAGGATTTGTGCTCGAGCAGCCTGCCAGTGCCTCCTCATGGCAACTGGACGAAATGAACCAGTTAGGAGCCTGGAGTATACCAGATCCTCCTCGACATGTGCCGCTTTGGACTACGTGCCACCAGTGGGCCATACAAAGACCAAGTGGTGAAGAAGCCGACCACGCTGGTCACCAACATTGCAGAGATGGCCGCCCATGTCAGCCGTCTCTGTGACAAAGGCCATGAACACGGTCAACTCATTGGTGGGAGCAGCCAGTGGGGCTGCCATCTACAAGCCCGCCTTTGTGAAGGCGATTCTGAGAGGAATCAAAGAAGCTCTTGGAATCAAGGCAGACACCAATGCCCTACCGCCGGAGGCAGTTCAAAAGGGCAAAGCAATGGGCCAAGCCGCCTACTTGTATGCCAAAGACCAAGTGGAGTTGGAGGAGGAATTTCAGCGGTCGTATGCAACCTCATCCTATCCGACCGAATTCGAGCCGACGGAGGTGGACCCATCAGATGAACCAAGGGCTCAAATGCCTGAACCTCCGGAGCATGATGCTGTGGAGGATGTAAGAAGAGAGCTGAGGCGGCTGGAAGAGCAGCCAAGGATCGCCAAGGCTCTGGAGAAGGTTGACGACTTCTCCAAAACAGATGATGGGCAATTTGCACTGGCCCCAGCGCTGCGCCGAGAGGTGCACAGGCTCCACCGAAATTTGGGACATCCAGCTTCTGAGTTGTTCCTACGAGCCCTGAAGAATTCTGGAGTGCGATCAGAAATCCTTCGTTGGACCAAGGACCACTTCGGATGCGCCACATGCGCCAGTCGAGCCAAGCCCAGTCCCGCAAGGCCAGGCCATTTGATGAGGTCCCTCGAATTCAACCAAGTCGTGGGAGTCGACCTTTGTTTCCTACCCATCTTTGGGCGAGAGTACATTTTGCTCCATGCCTTATGCTGGGGAACCAACTACCAGCAGGCAAGCCTGTGCCAGAACAAGTCAGCCGATGAAGTTCTGCGGACGTTGATGGACATGTGGGTCAAGGTTTTCGGCCCGCCTGAGCTGCTGGTCATGGACAGAGGCAAGGAATTCTTCAATGAGAAGTTCCATGCAATGCTAGGAGGCCAAGGCTGTGGGCTGCATTACATTGATGCAGAAAGTCCATGGCAAAACAGCCGCACAGAACGCGCAGGAGGAATCCTGAAGGAGAAGATTTTGGCAACAGCCCATGAAGTGTCTGCAACCCCAGAAGAGCTTCACCTAGTGACTAGTGATTGCTGAAGCTGTGTCGGCGCGGAACAGGTGCATGAACAGATTCGGTTTCTCTCCCATGCAAAGAGTTTTTGGCAAGAACCTCCGCATCCCCGGTTCGATGTTGACCTCCGACTCCATGGACCAAGAACTCCTGCAAGCATCAGTCACTGAACCGGCGCGAAGACTGTGGGAGATTCAAGACATCGCCACCAAGGAGTGGGTTCGGAGACAGGATCAAGAGGCCATCCGAAGAAGCATAAGGGCCAAGACAAGAACCTCAGACATGAAGAGCCTAGCACCAGGCTCATGGATCTATGTCTTCAGAGACACCCCATCTTACAAAGGCTGGACCGGCCCAGGTGTCCTCATTGCAGAAGACCTCAACAACCGTTCCTGTTGGGTTTCGATGGGAGGACGATTGTGGAAAGCCAGCCGAGAGCAAATCAGGCTTGCGCACCCTGAAGAAGAGCTGGGAGCCGAGCTAGTGGTGGAACTTTCCAAGGAAATGTTGAACAAAGTCCACAAGCCGGGCC